AATTCAATCAGTGACAGATTAGCTGCTCTAGTGCTCAGGCTAACTACATCCCTCTGAGAGCATACACTCTTCTAACAGATATAATCCTTACCTTAGCATATAATTTAGGAGCCTTTAAATTGTTTCACACATAACTCATCTATGACAGGGTTCTGATATGAAAAATAGAAAGCTGGCTGCCTACAGATGCCAGATCCCACTAGTGTGTTTATATCCCAATACTGCTAAGACGTAATACTTATTCAGTTTAAGGACAGATAATTTATGTGATGGCAGTAGCCATGTTTTGACACCTTTTGGAGTAATCAGACTCAAATATTTTTTTTTGACTAGGTCGTAGGAGTCCACATAGCAATCAGGTTTCAAACTGGCCACAACTAGCTTTATCGAACTTCCAGCCTCAAAAAACAATCAGCTTAAATATGTTAATATTTCATAAAATTCACTTTGCAAAATATACCCAATCATGTGCAAGGAAAAAACTGTATTTTTGCTTGCACATGATTGGATGATGGAAGTTAGCAGAGCTTCACCTCATTTACTAATCTGAAGGGAAATTCCCTTGCAAAGTGAACAGCCTATTTGCCTTTAGTAAATCAACCCTATTGTGTCCAAATCCACAAGTCCTTGTCCAGTGTGTAAAGGAGAACTATGGGGTAAGTGTTTTTCACCATAGTTCTCCTCAGGGTCACGGGAGGACATAAACTAGCGTCCTCCCGTTACCCTAGGCTCAGTATACAGCGAGCTACAGCTCGCGGTATACTGAGAGCGCAGCAGCCGGGATGGATCCCAACATTACTGTCAGCTTTACCTAGAGGCAGAGCCAGCTGTACCCTCCCCCGTTCGTTCCTCCAGTCAGCGCTGGAAGATCGGAGCAGGGAGGGTGGGAATCCCTGCAGGGAGCCGTGAGTGACAGTCACGGCTCTCTGCAGGGACAGGATCAAGAAGTGAGCGAGCAACGGTATGTGTTCGCTCACTTCTCGATCTATTGAGCCGACGTGTAACAGTTTCATTGTCACACGTCGGCTCGAACTATGAGGTTGAGTGAAAAGCATTCACCTCATAGTTCTCCTTTAAGCACAATGTTACCACCACACATTATTTATCTGCAGAAAAACATACCCTACCTCCCTGAAAGTCTACAAGAATTTGAAAGAGGCCTGTAAAGGCAAATGTTTTTTAAAAACTTCAGTTTTCAGTACACAAGTCATCCTTTCTAGCTAAACTGGTTTACTCTCTCACATGTATCTATCTGGAATTAGTTTACTGCTACTGAGTTACAAACAAGTGGTTACAATGTTTCATCCAGACCTTGCATGGACATCGGTAGTGTCTTCTTTAGTAGTTGCCAGATTATTTTTCAACTAATCGATAGATTGCATTAAAAAAAATCTCTCTCTCTCTCTTTCTCCCAACTAACTGATAATGAGAATATTTGCCAACTATTTCCATAATCGATTATTATCGATTTAATCGATTAGTTGTTGCAGCCCTTGTCTTCTTACAAGACTCGGCCTACTCTGCATTCCCTGCAATATCACTCGAAGGATGCCAATGTCACTCTCACCCAGGCACTACAGACGGAAGCGGGGATAAGGTAAGTATAGTATTTCACTTTTTTCACAACTGGGTTTTATGTTCTTAATTTGTTCCAGTGTTTTCAAATGGGGGACCTAACACAAATGGACATTGCAATTTTAGAGCAAGGCCCACATTAACATACCATACTAAAGAAAATCTATTGTACACAGGTGCAAGTTATAGAATAAATGCAAACATCCATTTTCAAAGAATGACACAAATTGGCTCAATTTTTTTAAAAGATCAAAAAATATCCCTTTCTGCAGAATGAACACATGCTTATTTCTAAAATACGGATAACATGGCAGCACTGTAGGGTCAATGTATGCCAATAAAAGTGGAAATTGATACTGCTTTCACATTAACACGGAAGAGGGCAGTCAGCGTATAGAAACATGACCGTGCTGCTATATTAGTACAGCTGCACTATTCCAGCTCTGTAATGCGTTTTAATGTATTACTGTCATTTATACACAGGATATTTAATCTGAGAACCTCCTTTAACCTTGAGATACATCTTATAAACCACAGCAGAATTTAATTTTACTATTGAGCCGGAGCCATCAATACAGGCAGCATGTTTATGTTCAATATATAGTATACTAAAGAGATATGACTTCTGTATGTTACAGTTGAAAGTCAATGGGTGTGTAACATCAAAAGGATATATAAAGGGTTATTCACAAAAGAGTGAAGAGTTAGGAGAAGGCAGGAGAAGTGAACAATCTAGAACAACATAGCTGAACTGGAAACTGAGCTGAATTGAAGAATGTTTCCAAATCAGCTATATTGGCCTAGATTGTTCACTTCTCCTGCCTTCTCCAAACTCTGCACCCTTTTGTGAACAACCCAGATAGTGTTTTTGAATGTTTTCTTTTTACATTTCTTTTTATTTTGGTATATATAAAAATAAACAGGCAAATGAAATTTGCTGTTTTATGTCCTGGGCATTTAGGAGGTTGCTTGTGCCCCATTTGCTACAGACTCCATATAAAACAAGAGGAGAGCTCTGTGATGCTGCTGGAGACATAAACCACAAAAATAGTTTCTAATTAGACATGTGCGTTCGGATTCGAACGAACCTGCAAATCAACCAAAATCAGTTGATTTGGCGGTTCGTCCGAATACGAAATAACGCATTTAATATATGCCTGAATATACTAGAATGATATTCGGGCATACATTAATTCGTTTTCAGAACACGCCGGTGTTCTATCGAAAGTTCCAACTTGTCGACCTCTCCAACTGGTGATATCACATCTGGTGACTGCCAGTAGGAGATCTACAGCAGATGGTGCCAGTGCGCATGCCCAGGAAATCCTTGTTGAACTAACTATTGCCACAGCGCCTGCGCGGCTATCCACTTCTATAACCTAATACAGTTACATTTGTCCTAGGTTATAGAAGCCGATGACACGATAGTCGCGCAGGCGCAGTGACTGCCAGTAGGAGATGTACAGCAAATAGAGCTAGTGCGCATTAGCAGAAAATCCTTGTCGAACTGTCTAACTATTGGCACTGCTCCTGCGCAGCTAGCGGCTCATCGGATTCTATAACCTAGTACAAACTTATATTTGTCCTAGGTTATAGAAGCCGATAGCCGTGCAGGCGCAGTGGTAACTGTGGTTTTAGAAAGAATCATGTGGCCGCACAGGCGCTGTAGCATAATATAACCTTTGCCTAAGTTATATAATCTGATCCTTCAAGGTCCTACGATGCAAATACACACTCTTCCATCAAGGACTTTTACAAATACCTTTGCAGGAGACATTTTCCCTTAGCTTTGTGCATTAAAGACATTCATCACACCAGGTGTATCCTTGCCTTCTTTAAAGAGATTAGTATCAATCAAAAAGGAATCTCTACAGTATTTCGGATCTTAGCTGAACCGAACATGGATGTAAAAATGGTAACTAAGGAATGGCGAGAAAAACAAATGAACTGTTCAACAATGCCATTTTAATCTTTACAGAAAAGTCTGCTTAAATAGTATTATACCCCAAAAATTAGATGCAATCTTTATGAATCACTCTCCACTCTGCTGGAGAAATTACAGTCATGTGGGCTCATTGTGTCACATCTGGTCGAAATGTGGGAAAATGCTTGCTTTCTGGTCTGAGGTTTTCAAGTTCAAATCCTTGGTTACTCGTGTGCTGCCTACTCCAGACCGTGCCCTAGCACTCCTAGGAGTTGGAATCACCTCCTGACCGCACAGAACACGAACAGTCTTAATGTATGTTCCCATAGCGTCTAGACTATCTATTGCCTGGCTATGGAAATATGGTGAACCTTCTTTGTTAACTCCAGTGATTTCTACACTTAACACCCATGATCACACGGTGCTTTCCTTTGCAAAGGCAAACTGTGGTTAGGATAAATTCTACCCTAACTGGTCTTGTTGGCTTTCAGACAACCATTGCAGCATTTAGGCTTAATTAATTGATTACATTATCTCTCACTCTCACTTCTCATCTTTCCATGCATAACCAATGTTATTTCTAGTTTCTAAGGTGGTTACTCCAAGGTACATGATACTGTTTCCAGATGTACCATATTGACACAAGATGTATTGCTTAAGGTGAGATTTCTCTGTCTGTTTACCCCCTCCCGTACATTCTGTTTGTCTCCTCTGCTCTTTCCCTTCTCTACATTTCATCCCTCTTTCCTCCCCGCCCTGCTCACCTCCTGTGCCCAATATTGTGGTTCTAATTAAAAACAGAAAACTTTAATTCTCCTGGTTAATATTCTTCTGCAGGTTAATGCAATCATGGGTAAGTAACTCTGTTGCCAGGATCCTCCACATGACGCTGCATTGTCTTATGCTCAGGTTAGTAATTTTTGGATGGTATCTTAATGAGTTCTCTCCTCTTGTTCCTCTCTGTACCTTATGTCTATGAATCAAATTGTATACCTGCACCCTGGATTTGCCTTATATCTTTAAATAAAGATTTACTGTTAAAAAAATAAATAAATTCTAATAGCACATGCAATCGCTAGGTATGTTCTATTAATTTTTGCTCAGTTAGTAAAGATGAGAGAACTGGTAATATCCAAATCAGCTACTAAGTCTAATATTTAAGGTTAGTGAAAGCCATGGTGGGCTTGTCCTCATCAGACAGCTATGACACACTAAGGACAAGGATGACCAGTCACAGATCCTATTTTTTATTAAAAGAGTCACTCTTTCTTTTTTTTATTTTATTTGTTCGACGATGTGGGGACGGGTCAGAAGCTCGGAGTTTGTGTAGCCATTGGTAAACATTTCCCTAATGTCCTGTGTGGTCACTGAAACCAAAAATGTGCAAAATCTCTGCAAGTCATACATTGCCTTTTGCCTTATAACACTTTGGGCATCATCATTGCGCTCTGCACCGCTCACAGAGTATGATAGCTAAAGTTGTAAATATAGGTGCACTTACCCACTTCATCTCTGATTGTAGCAAGTTCCAGCTGCAGCTCTCGCTCTTTCATAAGACTAGTTTCACTCTGTGGAAAAAAATGCAATGTGCTGTTATATATACCAAGATTAAAAAAATAGTATATCAGCAATTTTATCTGCTAGGTGAATCTTTTAAAGTATATTTGCAGCCTATAAATGTTTTATTTTCATTGAGAGTGGAAAGTTTAGAACCCCTATCAAGCTTTTATTGCCGTCTATGTCCTAGCTAGGGAGATACACCCTCTATTTGTCCTGGTGGTAATCATAACTGGAATAGAAAGTAAATCCTAAAGAAATCCTAAATTTTAAATTTGTCACTAGAACAGGAGTGGAATGGGGACACCATTTCTGGTGACAGTTGCCTAAGAGAGGAAAGGTTTCCTCATTTCTTTTTGTGTTTCTGGGACAGGAAAAAAAAAAGGGTTTTGACCATTCCATACTTTAACCAACACTGAAAGATGACATGTTGGCTATACATACACCTAGGGGCATCATTATATAGCACTGAATGTGACTTTCATCTAATATTCACTGGTGGTGAATAAATCACTTTAATTTGAAACCCATGCACCTGGATTAAATAAGATGTTTTATACTTACCTTGTCTGGCCGGTGCTTAAAATTTGCTCTCTTGACGACCTCCCAATCCATTACAAGCTCCCAGTTGCGGTGACGTGTGTTCCCATGCGTTTGTTGGCTTTTGTTTCCCGCGTTCGGCATGCATTCTGCACACTCTGATATCCATGCGGACACGCGCCAATAATTTTGCGACATTCATTCCACATTTTTTCTGTGTGTTTGTGCATGTTTTATCGTGGGAAGAAAGCACATTTTCTCGGCTGCATTTGGGATGTCACTGCTAGTAATAACACCACAAGCCCGTTACGCATTTTGTGCGTAATTTGCAAATTTCTGTGTGCGTTTTGACGTGCTTTCATGACACGCCCATATTTGAAGGGGTGCTAAGACTTGCTCAAATCTTTCTAAGATTCTGGAGGAGACTGAATCTTAGACTGATTGACTGACGCCTTTTTTGCTGTTGCTGTGACACTTTTTGCTAAAAATTAAAGATAGGTGTCACCTAATCTATGTTGGGCTCTGCTGGCTTTGGTCAGAGAACATATTCAAAAACAAAAAGTAATCACATAGTACTGAACATGACGTGCTGCTTCTTAAGGAATTGTGATCATGTCAAATTTAATAAAGTGTCCTATAAGAGGAAGACAGATTGATATGTCTAGGATAGTTTTATGACATGACAAACACAATGTAATGTGAAGTACATCATCACTAATTCCTACTGCAATGCTTCCAGAATCATTATACTATCACACAGGCAGCAAGAGTGATTACATTTAAAAATAAATAAATATAAAAAAGAGGCAGAGTTTATTATTAGCCCTGTATATGTGGAGATAAAAGAAGCTCATCGGATCAAAGATGCGGGAGGCATCTATTACTGCTAATAGATAATCAACACTGGAAAAGAACACTCAAAACCCAATAATATCCCAAAAGAACCATTAGCAGCAAACTAACAAAGGGCCACACTTTGTGAGCATTGCAGAGTCTTCTTCCACTCCATTAATTTTTCATTAGACATATTATTGAACATTATCTAACAACAGCTATTATCCTACAAAAAATAAAAATGCTATATATATATATATATATATACACACACATACACACACACACACACACACACACACACACACACACTGTATATATTTACACGCACACACTACCACACTACTGGTCAAAAGTTTTACAACACCCCCATTTTTCCAGTTTTTATTGAAATTTACGCAGTTTAATGTCTTTATGTACTCTGAAGATAAGGCATAGAACAAATAAACAATTGGACATCCAAAACAAATCATGGAATAATTTTCTTTATCAAAATGTAATCTAAGATTAGACTCATCAAAGTAGCCACCTTTTCCATATATAACAGCCAAACACACTTATGGCATTCTTTCTATAATGGAAATCAAATATTGTTCAGAAAGTTCTTCCCAAAACTTTGCACTTGTAGATTGTTTTGCTTTCAGCCTTCTGTCCGGTTCATCCCAAACCAGCTCGATGGGGTTTCAGTCTAAAGACTGTGCTGGCCATTTCATGATTTGAAGCCTACCATCTTGTTCTTTTCTTCTAAGGAGGATAAACCCCTGACCAACTGGGCATACAGTAAAATACTGTGGTAGTAGTTTTGGTTCAGGGTGCCACTCTCTCTGTGCAAGTCGCCGACTCTGGATCCAGCATAAGAGCCCCAAGTCATGACACTTCCTCCTCCATGTTTGACAGTTGGTGTCACACACAGAGCAGCTATCCTTTTGCCTACTCAATGTCGTACAAAAACCCGCCATGATGAACCGAAGATCTCAGATTTTGATTCATCGGTCCACATGACCTTCTTCCAGTCTTCAGTAGTCCACTGGCGGTGCTTCATGGCCTAGGTAAGCCTCTTTTTCTTATTTTGCCATCTTAGCAATGGCTTTCTTACTGCCATTCGACCTGCCAAACCTGCAGCTCGAAGTCTTCTCTGAAACCGAGACTTGCCTACTTCGATCAGTGTTAAGCTGTGCTTGAACCTGTTGTCCTGTGAGCCGCCTGTTACACAAGCTGTTGACTCACAACAACTTGTCTTCTGATTCTGTTGTGGCTTTGGGTCGGCCAGATCTCTTCCTGTCAGAGTTTCCTCCAGTTTCCAAGTACATTTTGATGGTGTAGAAAACCGTACACTGACACCTTGGCTTTCTTTGCAAATTTTCTAAAGGAAAGACCTACACTTTTAAGGGTTATAATGGTCTGTCTGTCTTTCTTTGTTGATTGCCTTTTTCTCGCCATTTTGAGAGTAATATACTACTTCCTGCAGTACAATATTGTCCAAATATTGCTTAAGAGGGTGTAGCAACACAATCTGTTCCAACACTGATATTATACATCAAGAGGGCCTGAGAGCAAGCCACAAAAGTTGGGATACCTGTAGGAATTGTTAGCATTTACCTTGAGGGTTTCATTTGCTTACATTCCTGCAGAACAACTGTTTTGAGTTGTTAACCCATTACTTCTTCCCTGAAAAATGCCTTTTAGTATAACTCTGAAATGTACATTACTGTAAACTCCCAGTTATCCAACACCCACGGGGATCGGTAGGTGCCAGATAACTGTAGCTTGTGGTTGCTTGAGAGTTAATAGCAGGCAGGCTATTGAAACCCCGTCCACTGAGCAGAGGAGCAAACCTGAGAGAGAAAGTTCTCTCTCAGGTCCGCTCCTCTGCTCAGTGTGCAGGTGCAATAGCCAGCCTCTTATTGGCTATTGCAATTTGAAATAGCTAATAGCGGGCTGGCTATTTCTCCCCATTGTTTACATTCTGCTGCCGACCACGGCAACAAAATGTAAACAAAGAATTTCAATAGCAACTAAATAAATTTAGTTGCCATCAAAATTTGTTAGTGTACTGTGCACCAAGCAATCAGAATTTTCCTACTGTGCATCAAGCTGCCGATTGCTTGAATGACGGATAATGGGGTGTTACCTTTGTACCATTTCAAGTTATTCCCTGGACTTGAAATATTTACATAAAAAAAAAACTAAGGGTGTCATTCAGAAAGCTAACCGACCAAACTCCTTGCAAATGACAGTTGGGTGGAGCCAACCACGGCTGGCTCCGTCCAGTTGCAAGGACAGATCAGTGTCCCCAGGTGACCTGGGGACGCTGAACTGTCATTAAACAATGACAACAGGGTGTAGCTGGCCATGACGTCACGGCCAGCTCCGCCCAGTTTTTATTCATTGGCCGAGACCTGCTAGAAGACTCTAGCAGGTTCTAGCTAATAGGAAACAGTTGGGCGGAGCTAGCTGTCACTGCTAGCTCCGCCCCAATAGTTTTTTTATCTTATTATTTTTTTAAAACGATTAATTTTTTTACATTTATTATTTATTTACCTTTTGATATCTTTTTTTCTGCTTGTTTCATTGAGTTCCTCTTCTGCACTGTACCACAGAGGTACCGTGCAGAATTGCCGAATGCCGTTCGGCGGCATTCGGTTATTCACTTACTGCTGTTTGGCCCCTATGTGAATAGGGTTGAATGGCAGCGAGTGAGCTGCCGCAGCTTCGGCTCAGCCGATCCAGATGTTGGATCGGCTAAGTCGGACTCGTTCTGCACTTCGGCTCAGCTGAACATGCATAGCATGTTCGGCTGACCGAAGTGCAGCCGAAGCCAGCCGATGTATGGCTGAAATCAGAGGTACAAGTCTGAAGTGAATAGCCGAACTTCAGGTGGGTTACTCACTCGGCTGACTTCTGCAGCTTTGGGAATAACCCTGTAAAACTTTTGACTGGTAGTGTAGTCAGGTGGAACTTTAGTAAATGAACCCCTTAATGTTTTAGGAGCTGGGAGTGGGTCAGGTATTTGTAAGGTGTAGAATATATATATGCTTTTTGTACAACATTATTTTAGCTAGGTGCTTGCAGTACAGCAAACCCTTTGGAGCAAAACACACTTTAAAACAAAGGAAAAAGGTAAAGGCATTCTTTTGAATCACTAAAATCTAAGAAGCAGATGCAGAATGGCACCTATGTTTTGCCAACAGCATAAAAAACAGAAATGGTGTAGTGTATTGAGTAATACAGCCTCTCGGACTCTTATACACTGTAACTGACCCTGAATTACACAATTTTCCAAACTAACAGTAGCCACTTTTCTTCTCCCTCTCCTTTCATACATAAATCTGAATCTGGGGAAGTGCCCATTCACCTCTGCTAATTGGTTGCTATGGGAAAGCTCTATCCTGGGTCAGAGGAGATGGGATAATGGGAGTGCGCCAAACACAAGTAGCAAATAAATAACTGGCATGGATAACTCATTATATCCAAACATCTGCCTTGGATGAAGCAGCCTTATGACTGGCATGGATTGGATTGCTCATCCCTATCCTAAAATCCCAAAAACCATCACAGTGAAAAATATAAGGAAATACCTAAATTTCCCTTGTATTGATTTTAAGAAGACTGCACTGTAACCACTGGCGAAACTACC